TGCACTACCACCAAGCCTGGGAGGAATGGGATTGACCAATCCAGAGGAGATTGTTGCCACCGAACATCAAAACTCAGTCAAGCTCACAGCAGCCCCCACTGACCACATAATAGCTCAGAATGCAACAGGGGAGGTGGATACCAGCGAAGTAAACAAGATTCGACGGTCCATTACGGCAGAACATCCAATGTGATAAGTTGCAGCAACTGATGCTGCAAGTACCAAAGAATTTGAAAAAAAGTAGCTATAGCGCAGGAGGTGGGCACCTCGAACTGGCTAACTACGTTACCGATAAGGGCAAAAGATTTCAGTCTTAATAAGCAAGAATTTACAGATGCCATTGTTCTAAGGTACAGTAGGCCAGTAGAAGGATTGCCCTCCCAATGTGAGTGTGGCTCTTCCTATGATGTTGACCACACTATGGTGCGCAAGAAAGGGGGCTTCGTATGCATGAGGCACGACGAAGTAAGGGATCTCACTACAAATATGTTGCAGGAAATCCGTCATGATGTCAGGGTAGAACCGACTCTCCTTCCATTCAATGGTGAGAATTTCCAACATAGGACTTGAAACACATCCAACGAAGCCCGTATTGACGTCAGTGCTCATGGATTTGGGATGTGGGGACAGTAAGCCTTCTTCAACATAAGGATTTTTTGTCCCATGGCCGCATATCACCGCAACCTCGCAACCTAGCTCTCGATGCTGCACACAGGAGGAACGAGAACGACAATATTAGCGTATATGGGGAAAGAATTGAGAACGTTAACTAAGGCACCATCACTCCTCTGGTGCTCACAACCTCCGGTAGGATGGGACCAAGTTGCAAGATGCTTCTATGCCAAACTCGCGGAGGTGTTATCCAAACAGAAGCAGCAGCCCAGAAGTTATGTTACATCCTGGTTGAGATGCCAACTGTCCTCTCTCCTTAGGTTTGCTTTGCTTTGCCTCAGGGGAACTAGTGCATCGGCCCCAAAGCCGACAACAACTGCAGACACTGACTACGAGGCAACAGACACTAAATGCCGCATAGATCTTTTTTCTTTTCTTTTTCACAGAACTTAGTTCACCCGGGCACATGTCGAAAGACCTGCAATGGGACCTAGGGGCAAAAAAAATAGGAATAGAAAGAAATTAAAAATATAAAAGAAGAAGGTTATATTAATCTACACCACGAAGATGCTGGAAAACCAGCTTTTTAAAGTGAGACAGATTGTATGAGTAAGGAAACACAGAACAAGGCAGAGCATTCCACAGTTTGGTTGTATGAGGAAAGACGGATGTACTATAACAGGTTATTCTAGTGTGACTGACATTCACAGAGAAATGGTGGGCACCATGGGCAAGACGTGAGTTACGAGCCCAAGGCCTTGCCGGCGGTACACAGGATGCCAAATACACTGAACATTGGCCGTTAAAGTACCTGCAAAAAGAGAGAGTGAAACAACATTGCAGCGAAGAGAAAGGAAGAAAGATTGTCAACTAAAGGAGGAGAGTTAATAAGATGAAATGTCTTGATTCCACCCTATCTAACAGTTGGACAGAAGAAGAGCCACCCCACATATGAGAGCAGTACTCCAAGTTAGGACGAATGAATCCTTTATATACTTGAAGCAACTGCTCAGGAGTGAAGTAGCTACAGTATCTGTACAGCATTACCAACTTTCAGAAGGCAGCTTTAGCACTGTTGAGGATGTGTGGCTTCCATGACATATTAAGAGGAAATGGTGAGACCTACCATATCTGTTACAGAAATTGGCAGAATGATAGCATCCTGAAATGTAATTGGTGGGAGATCATCTAATTTAGCAAGTGTAATTGATCTGCGGCTCATCTAACTTAACACAGCTAGGGTAGCTATTTATGTATATTAGGATAGTTAATTTTATGGTAATAAAATGGCTGCAAAGGTGTGGCTATTGGGGGAGGCTGCAGGCCATAATTAAAAAAATAGTAGTAGTAGTAGTAGCTCTGTCGAATATTGCTAAAACAGAGCCACATGCGGCTTTTGCGGCATTCACCCACGGAGTTAAGTATCACTGGAACTACCTGATGCGCACTATCCCTAATATTGGGCCCCTCCTCCACCCTCTGGAAGAAGCCATCAGCGTCAATTTCATTCTCAAATTAGTGAAACCTCTTCACTTAACCCCGGCAGAAAGGTCACTCCTTGCACTACCACCGAGACTGGGGAGAATGGGATTGACCAATCCAGAGGAGAATGCTGCCACCAAACATCAAAACTCAGTCAAGCTCACAGCAGCCCTCACCGACCACATAATAGCTCAGAACGCAACAGGTGAGGTAGATACCAGCGAAGCAAACAAGATTTGACGGTCTATTACGAGAGAACGACAGCACAGCCAATGTCATAAGTTGCAGCAACTGATGCTGCAAGTGCCAGAGAATTAAAAAAAAAGTAGCCATAGCGCAGGAGGTGGGTGCTTCAAACTGGCTAATACGTTACCGATAAGGGCAAAAGGTTTCAGTCTTAACAAACAAGAATTTACAGATGCCATTGCTCTAAGGTACAGTAGGCCAGTAGAAGGTTTGCCCTCCCATTGCATGTGTGGCTCTTTCTATGACGTCAACCACGCCATGGTATGCAAGAAAGGGGGCTTTGTATGCATGAGGCAAGACAAAGTAAGGGATCTCACTGCAAATATGTTGAAGGAAATCTGTCATGATGTCAGGGTAGAACCGACCCTCCTTTCATTGGATGGTGAGAATTTTTCAACATAGGACTTCAAACACATCCAACGAAGCCCGTGTTGACGTCAGTACTCATGGATTCTGGACACGGGAACAGCGAGCCTTCTTCGACATAAGCATTTTTATCCCATGGCCATATGTCACCACAACCTAGCTTTCGATGCTGCACACAGGAGGAACGAGAACGACAAGATTAGGGCATATGGGGAGAGAATTCAGACTGTTGATCAAGGCAGCTTCATGCCTCTGGTGTTCACAACCTTTGGTGGGATGGGACCAAGTGCAAGATGCTTCTACGCCAGACTCGTGGAGGTGTTATCTGAACAGAAGCAGCAGCCCAGAAGTTATGTTACAGCCTGGTTGAGATATCGTCTGTCCTTCTCTCTTCTTAGGTCTGCTTTGCTTTGCCTCAGGGGAACGAGAGCATCTGCCCCAAAGCCGACAACAGCTGCAGATAATGACTACGAGGCAACAGTCACTGAATGCTGCATAGATCAGTGGCTTAACTAACTCAACACAGCTAGGGTAGCTATTTATGTACAGGGATAGTTAATTTTAAGGAAATAAAATGGCGGCGAAGGTATGGCTATTGAGAGAGGCTGGAGTCCATGTTGAAAAAAGTAGTAGTAGTAATAGTACGTAGTAGGAAAGGTGAATGAGTGGGTTAAGGAAATCCAAGCTCTGTCTCATATTGCTAAAACAGAGCCACATGTGGCTTTTTTTTAGCATTCACCCATGGAGTCAAGCATCGCTGGAATTACCTGATGCGCACTATCCCTGATGTCAGACCCCTCCTCCGCCCTCTGGAAGAAACCACCAATGCTGCTTTTATCCCAACACCAGTGAAAAACCATTACTTAACCCCAGCAGAAAGGTCACTCCTTGCACTCCCACTGAGACTAGGAGGAATGGGATTGACTAATCCAGTGGAGCTTGCCAATACAGAACATCAGAACTCTGTCAAGCTCCCTTGACCTTAGTGTGCAGCGTTGCCGCTTGTAATAAAAAAACAAAATATCCATATGGTTATTGAGTAAATCTTTTTTAGGTTCTTTTGCTATTCTGCTACATTCATTTTCTTTTTCGTGAAAAAAAAAATCATTATGTATATCCGTACATAGCTGCAAGACCAACCAGAAGTACTGTGACAGGACTGAGAGCCAGTAGGCTTGGCAATGCTGCAACAGCCCAGGATTTAAATGCCAAGTAGCACTTTTAAATGAGGCGAGTTGCCACTTTTACTGGTATTTCTTGTTTTCTTGGGTCATTTTGAGATGTTTTGTCCATAAAACAAAATGTATATTTTTCCCGACCGGGAGGGTGTTACCGTGTACAGGTATGTATAATAATGTGACCTTTTACAAGTTAATATAGAACTACAAAGGACAATCTTAGGCAGCACAAACCTGTGGGGTGGAGGGGGGAACACACATTATAAGCTGGGCAATAAATATGAAGATCTAAACATAAGAGATCATTTCAGAGCTCTGCAATTACATGATAGTTAAGACATCTGAAATGCATTAGATCACTAAAAATTTTCTAAGCCAAACAATCATTCATTTACAGTCATTTCTGCTATAACGCATGTTTTGTCAACGCGAATTGGCTATAACGCGATTGATGAATAGAAGAACGATATTTGTAAAACGCGAACGCGTGTTGGCTGTAACGCGATTCCATTCAAACGTTTTAAGTGTATTGTCGCTTGGCGCGGGGTTATGCAGTGTTTACAGTTCACATTTGACATCACATGTTCAATTGAATCATGTGTTTTGTTTGTGAAGTGCTATTTGATAGGGGCTATAAATTTCATCCTTTTTTTTTGCAAATTTAGCTGTTCCCATAAATACTGTATGAACAAATAAAATAAAAATGTTTCGCAGTGTGGACTAATAGCGTTTTACATCCACGCTCTCTGTTTCCGTCACACGATCAGTTGAAATACGTGGGTTGTTTAGAAGCGTCCTCAGTGATTTTTGCTTACTATTTCTCAATTTTGTGGTATTAACTGTGTTACATTTACTGTATGATGTCATTATTAGATATGAATGTAGCATTTATTTAGACTGTGCTATCCTTTGTATTAGGCTAACTACTAAATTTTTTTCGATTTAGAGTAATCTGCACCTAACCCTATTTTCTCCATAAGCCCTGTTATTTCTATTGAGCGAATTTCTACAATGCGAGATTTTACAAGAACACAACCATCGCGTTGTAGCAGAACTGACTGTATTATATGTTGGGCAAAACCCACTTGTAGTATAAATTATAATAAAGGCTCACCATATATGACTTACTTTTCAACGATCTGAAGATCTCTCAAACGTATCAATTTTGTAGAATTATTGATTGAGTCTTGTAACTTGGTAACATCTTCTTGGGAGAATTTTGTGTGACATGGATTGAGAAATTCAACTACAAATGGGCGGCCATTCCCAAGACATCGAACATCAACATCTTCTCGTCCAGATGAAGAGAACTTTATATCTGGACAAGGAAAAGATATTGACAGAAAATAATACTCTATTAATACTTACAGCAGACAACCAGTTGACACTAAAATTAGGACATAAATGGTATACATGTATTATAATATACCATTTTTTAACATTGATATAAAGACAAAGGGAGAGCATACCATATAGTGAAAATTAAAAATGGGGGAATGATTGTGGGATTCTAATTTATGAATAAGAGGTCAACAGATGACTTGTGATTACAAAGTGAGTTAGTTCACAGGACACTGCTACCTATTACCATATCCTTAACATGTTGTGGATGGCACTAAAGTAGCTACACCATCCAAAAGGTAGAGCATACAAATGATTTGGATGTTAATATAAAGAACATCAAGATCAATGAGCCAAGGCAACCTCCTTAATAATAATAATAATAATAATAATAATAATAATAATAATAATAATAATAATAGTACAGGTTGTACCTCTCTAGTCCGGCAACTTCAGGACTTGACCGGTGCCGGACCATGGAAATTCACCCTTTTCCTGGATAGATAGTGACTTGTGCTTATGCTTGGAAGCACTAGCACCACTTTCTCTGCTTCATGGTCTCTTTGAAGACATGTTGAAGGGTTAAATGTCGTACAGTTGCTTTTCAAAATTCGCGAGTTTTTAATTCAACGTTTTCTATTTGAACACACAAAAAAACAACACATTTGAAAATTTTGAAGGCGGAAACTCGAATTTCGACGGGTTTGAACGGCCCACCAATGTGCAGACGACGTGCATAATCGTGTAAACAGCATCATTTCTCTTATGTACAAAAGATTCATTATTGTTTATTACTGAAAGTCTTTTTGATTGAATTAATGTTTGTGTGTGCAAAATGAGCAATACAATTCATTAATAATACGTAGAATATTAAAACACGAGGAAATGAGACAGCATTGTTTTCGTTGATTACAAAACCAGTGACTGACTGGTTCTACATATAAAACTGAGGAAAATAAGACCCTGGTTGTAGCTGTAGTAAAATTAATATGGTTGTTTAAAGTAATGTTATTTAATGTTAATAAATGGAACAATAGAAGTAGCTAACGATAATGGTAAAGAAAAAAAGAGAGATCGCGTATGTAAGTGCGCATGCGCACACGTGAAAACATATCATCATTACTTTACATAAGAATATGAAAGCAACACTTATTTACTGTTCATATATATTTTAATTAATGTTTCTGAATTTGTTTTTATTGAATTAATGTTTGTGTGTGCAAAATTAACAATACAATTTATTAATAATACGTGGAATATTAGAGGAGACGAGACGGCTGCCGGCATTGTTTTTGTTAAAGTTTACAAAACCAGTGACTGATTGGTTCTACATATAAAACTGAAGAAAATAAGACCCTGATTGTAGCTGTAGTAAAAATAATGTAAAAAAATTAATATGGTTGTTTGAAGTACCTGTAATGTTATTCAATGTTAATAAATGGAACAATATAAGTAGCTAACCATTACAGACAGACCCCGACTTACGACTGCTACGACTTACGACCGTCGGGACTTGCGACTGCCGCAGATTTTTTATTAAAAAAAAAATAATAATAATTTTTTTTTTTTTTTTTTTAAATGACACACATTTTCTATACCGAAACGTTTCCAGGTAATGTAGTCTCCATGTATAATTAGAAAATTATGGGGGCCCCATGTGCATTCAGCTGACTACATTAAAGGTAAGTGCTGTCACACTGTAACCATTCCTTATTATTTATTACTTTCACTGTACTGTATCCATTCCTCATTATTCATTACTTTTACTATACTGTATTTCATTGTAGATTATTTATTTAAAAAAAAAAAAAAAAAAAATTATCTATGTCGGACTTACGACCATGTCGGACTTACGACCTGGATTTGGGTCCCTAACCCCGTCGTAAGTCGGGGTCTATCTGTAATGGTAAAAAAAAAGTGAGACTACGCGTAAGTAAGTGCGCACATGTGAAAACATATCGTCATTACTCTACATACGAATATGAAAGTAACACTTATTTACTGCTCATATATATTGAAGGGTTAAATGTTGTACTCTGTATAGACAAGCAGAGAGAGAGAGAGAGAGAGAGAGCAGCTGAACTGCCGGATGTAAACAAACCTTAATTTCCTGCGGCTTTATTGTTGATTTTTTTTAAGGGGATTAGCCCACCCGGGCATAGGTCACTGACCCACATTGTGGCCTGAGGGGCAAAATTTTAATACTCCTGTAATAATAATAATATTCAGATAAGATAAAAAAAGAAAAAAGAAAAGAAAAAAAGCTGCCTATCTACCTATTGGACAAACTAAAATCGTTCCGGACCACGGGAGTTTCCGGACCACAGAATGCCGGACTAGAGAGGTACAACCTGTATAATAATAACAATAATAAAAGCTGGTTTTTTGTTTCTCAAAATGACCGATTCTTCCTAAGAATTCACTGGTGCTAAAAATACTGCAAAGTCAAAGGACCTGATAATAAGAGAAAAAACTATAACAGTACAGTACATGCAATCCTTCTGACACAAACAAATTACCCCATATCAACAAACTCCTTTCTAAATCTGAGAGAGGAAGGAAAGAAACCAAACCATCCACTCATCTCTCGATCATAAACCAGGATTTCCAGTCAATTTTACTTTATGAAAATGAACATTTGATTCTTCCTGAAATTCCATTTTATGCTTACTGTAAGCCCAGAACTAGTCCTTAATGCTTGGTGAATACCATAATACAGTACGTCTGGTCAGAGACAGGTGTAAAAAATCAGATTCTACACCCAGTGAGAAATTAGTTGGAACTGAAGTGTTGTTTTGGTTTCTGGTTATGACGAGACAAGTGACTGGGTGGATAATCCCTGTTATTGTGACAATGATTCTCTCATCTTTATGCTGTAAATAACAACTCCTGCTTCTGTGCAAACCCTTTTCAGGGCAATAATTGCAGTGGGATATTGAAACTAATCTTACCAGGACAGACATAAGGTTGTAAATTCAATACAGTAGGCCCTTAACATACGCGGGTTTATAATACACGGATTTGCAAATACGCGGATTGCCCCGCCGGAGGAATATTCTGTACATTGAAGAAATTTAAGTACATTCAAATCGCGCGCCATTCAACTCGCGCGCGGCACCGAACACGGGACACCGCCCGCTCCCGCAACCTCACACACACACGCATAGCTCTCCCTCACTCAGTCAGTCTCGCTGTAACCACGCTTGTGTTGACATCAGCATTGTAGTTGCAAAAATATTACATTTCCGTGAATGTATTATATCAAGCACAGTATGAATAGAATATCACTAATATAAGAGTATTTTAACCGAAAACTACTTAAAAAACGAGTAACATATCTTGAACATCGGAAGGCTAGGTAAAGTCTTTTGTTTTCATGGAGTTTATCCTAATTTACATTGAAATGCATTACGTTTCAGCAAAACTACTATTTATTTCTGAGAATATGGAAATGTAATATTTTGCTGAAATGACGTACGTATTACAGTGGAAAGTGACGAAAGCAATGACTCGCTTTCTTTCGTTTAAAAGATGTTACCGAAATCGTTTTTCGAATGGTTTTAAGTTAAAAAACTGTTGTATTACAATAATATTCTATCCTAATTCACTTGTGATGCAACAGTTTTTTTAACTGAAAACCATTCGAAAAGCGATTACGGAAACATCTTTTGAACGAAAGAAAGCGAAAGTCATTGTTTTCGTCACTTTCCACTGTAATACGTACGTCATTTCACCAAAAATATTACATTTCCGTGAATGTAGTATATCAAGCACAGTATGAATATAATATCATTGTAATATAACAGTATTTTAACCAAAAATATTAAAAAAACGAGTAACATCTCTTGAACATTGGAAGGTCTTTTGTTTTCGTCATGTATTTTATCCTATTTTACATTGAAATACATCACGTTTCAGCAAAACTACTATTTATTTCTTAGAATATATTCATTCAGGCACAGTTTAGGTAAAATATACATGTGCTGTAACATTTTTTTAATTGAAAACGATTCGAAAAACAAGTACCCTCTAGCCCTGTTCAAGGAGAAGACTGGGAGGAGCTGTTTGGTGCTTAAGACGATGACAAGGAAAATGATTTTGATGGATTTTTATGAAAATATTCAGAAAGACCCTGGCACTGTCAAGGAAAGTGGCTGCTGAAGGCTTCCGGGACATGGCAGAGGACGAGATTAGGGAGCTAATTGAAGAGCACGACACTGAGCTGACCGAGGAGGATCTACAGGAGTTAGTAGACTCAGGCAAGGAAGAGGAAGTGAAAGGGAAAGAGGATGAGGAAGAGCACCAAGAAATAACGTTGGAGAAGTTGGGGGAGATGACCAGGAATATTGAGGCACTGAAAAACCTGGCTTATAGTATGGACCCCTCCATGGTGCGTGCCCTGAAATTCATGCGAGGGATGGATGACGTTTTCGCTCCATACAAAAACATCATGGAAGAAATGAAAGAAAGAGACGACATCTCCCCATCACTATGTTCTTTGATCACCGAAGGAGAGATCTAACACCATCAATCACTGGCGGCAGTGAGGAAGCAGCTGAAACCACCCTCGCCCCCACTTCACCACCCGTTATGGTATTGAGTGACGATGAGCTCGATGACCCTCGTCCTGTCGCCGAGGATAGGTACTGTACAGTAAAGTGAAATTTCTATCTCTTTTTTTTTAATAGCTTTTCTTGCCATGTTTATTGTTTGTAAAAATGCACAGCACAGTACAGTTCAGTACTGTACATAGGAAGTGGAGGTGCAGTTATTCACAAAATATTTGTGTTCGTTGTCGGCAGTAGTGACAGGGAGGAGGCAGAGGGGGTGGAGGAGGCAGAGGGGGTGGAGGAGGCAGAGGGGGTGGAGGAGACAGAGGAGGTGGAGGAGGTAGAGGAGGGAGCGGAGGGAGCGAGTTGGGAGGAGTGGTGACCTTGGACGCGGGAGCAGGGACGAGTGGAGATGCCAGCCAGTACATTACGGGTGTATTAGTTGTTTTTATTGCTATTTTTGCATTTTAATATTAAATATTGTACATTACGTTTCAACAAAACTACCATTTATTCCTGAAAACATGGAAATGTAATATATTTGCTGAAATGATGTATGTATTACAGTGGAAAGTGGGATAAAATTGTGACAAAAGCAATGACATTCTCTTTCTTTCGTTCAAAAGATGTTACCATAATCGCTTTTCGAATGGTTTTCAGTTGTGGGATTATAAGGCTAATGATAGGATAGAATATTATTGTAATATAGTACGAGTACAACAGTTTTTTAACTGAAAACCATTCGAAAAGCGATTACAGTTTTACCCCGCCTAACGCGGTTTCACTTAACGCGTTTTCGCATATACGCGGTGCCTTGCCAAAGCTGAACTTTCACTTAACGCGGATTTTTTCCACATATACGCGGTGAGTGTCCGAGACGCTATTTTTAGATTTGCCCCACCCGTCACCCTGCCTCACTGCCTGTTTTAGCTCATAAAATTCATACAAATTACCAGGCCAGAATATAATTTACATTGCTGGAATTCTTATAATTTGGTGATCATTTTGAATATAAACATCATATATTTTGCTTTAAACTTACAATTTTTAGATAAAAAATTTTCTCTAGGTAACTATGGTATCTTTTGTGCAAAATATATGACATTTATATTCAAAATATTCCTGGTCTTACAAGGAATCCAGCAATGTCAATTATATTATCCTAACTTTAGTTTGAGGTATTATTTATTAAAATTTAGTGGTTATCCCACACATCTCCTTGGGACGGTTGGTGGGGGGTGGGGGGGAGGGAGGGACCAACCGACCATCTGTTACCCTGTGAAGAATTATTATTTTTTTTTATTAACTGAAGATATTTGTTTTAGCTCATAAAATTCATACAAATTACCCGGTCAGAATATAATTTACATTGCTGGAATTCTTATAATTTGGTGATCATTTTGAATATAAACATCATATATTTTGCTTTAAACTTACAATTTTTAGATAAAAATTTTTCTCTAGGTAACTATGGTATCTTTTGTGCAAAATATATGACATTTATATTCAAAATATTCCTGGTCTTACAAGGAATCCAGCAATGTCAATTATATTATCCTAACTTTAATCTGAGGTATTATTTAATACTAAATGTTAAAAACTCTGGAAGGGAGGATTGGTGGGGGGTGGGGGGAGGGTTGGGACTGACCGCGCGGTTGGAAGAGGGGGGGAGGCAAGGTGGGGTACTTTGATTGACAGATAGTGTCGTGAAGATTATTTTTTTTTTATTAACTGAAGATATTTGTTTTAGCTCATAAAATTCATACAAATTACCCGGTCAGAATATAATTTACATTGCTGGAATTCTTATAATTTGGTGATCATTTTGAATATAAACATCATATATTTTGCTTTAAACTTACAATTTTTAGATAAAAATTTTTCTCTAGGTAACTATGTTATCTTTTGTGCAAAATATATGACATTTATATTCAAAATATTCCTGGTCTTACAAGGAATCCAGCAATGTCAATTATATTTTCCTAACTTTAGTTTGAGGTTATCCCACACATCTCCTTGGGACGGTTGGTGGGGGGTGGGGGGGGGAGGGAGGGACCGACCGACCATCTGTTAGCCGGCTGTGTAGTGTGAGAGGGGGAGGGAGTTGAGTCCATTATTTGAATGGACATTAACTTGGCGACTGTATTTCTCTATTTCTCTTAAGTATTAATTGTGTGCATGTACCATCATAAAATTAAGATGTTATTTTTACTACAACATAGGTATGTGCCTTCAAAAAGTGGAGTTTGGGGGTCGGGCCGGTTTCTATTGGAATTAATCCCATATGTTCTGTTGTTCACTTAACGCGGATTTCACTTAACGCGGGACCCTCTGGGTTCAATTGACCGCGTTAAGTGGGGTACAACTGTACAGTAAAATCTTTTGAATAACAAAAGAAAGCGAAAGTCATTGTTTTCGTCTTTCCACTGTAATACGTACGTCATTTCAGCAAAAATATTACATTTCCATATTTATTTCTGAGATATATTCATTCAGTCACAGTTAAGGTAAAATATTCTTGTGATGTAATATTTTAATGAAAATAAGGTATCGTAGTTTTCTTTTGTTTCAAATTTAATTAACAAAGATTGATGTTTCAAATGTAATGAACAAAAATTTATGTACAGTATCTATAAATAAACTTTAAGAAATGAATATTTTGTTTTACATCGCCCTGTGCTACCATACCATGCATTTGGCTACTTTGGGCTTGCTATGATGACGCAAGAGATCTGCCCTGGCAACTGTACCGACACTCACAGCTGGTGGTGCGTTGGTGCATCGTTTCCGTTGTTTACTGGTAGTTACTGGTAAATATTTTTCAACCTAACGAAATTATTACCAGTTTAGAGGTCGGCCCCTAATTTTTTGCCAAATAATTTGGTCTTAAAAACCCGAACTACACACAGGTATATACGGTAAATAAGGACATGGGGACCAGGTTTTTTTTTAAAGCAGCACATATACGCGGATTTTTAACATCCACGTGTATCTCTGTTACGTAACCCCCGCGTATGTTAAGGGCCGACTGTACATATTTATCCTTATCTTAAATTTACTTTCAAACTTTATCTGTAAAGTAAGACCATTAACAAAATTTAATATTGTACAAGGTAAGTCACTTACCTTCAGCATGAACAGCTTCATTGAGAGTGTGACATAGTAACTCCTGCACACTGGACTCTAATTTCCTTTCACCTTCAACAAACCAAGGAGTTTGGGGCAAGTCTCTGCTATACTTATTGTAGCGACCTTTGTGAAAATTAACATATGTAGTAGCATGCGATATACAGTACACTGAACTGGGTTTTAATTTAAATACAAATGTACTCATATCAACATAACCATGCAACTAAATAGAAACCAGAGTTGCAAAAAGTACTGAACTTTCATATTTAAGTATAAGTATTGATGCATTGGCAAAATGTTACTTAAGTAGAAGTAAAAGTATCGCATTCTTATAATACTCAATCAATGAAAGTGAAAAGTAACAACAAACTTATTATTTGTCTTAAATATTAAAATAAATCCACAGTAAATTATAAAAAAATAGGAAACTAAAAATTAAAATAAAAAACACAGCATTTCACATGTTTATTTGCAAATCTTTCTATTAAGATTAATCAATAACTGATTCTCAAAATTATGGCTATCCAATCAGGATCTTTTAGGCCTAAATATAAGCCCAGCGTGACCTACTGAAAGAGAATACATTCAGCTGCTCTTCTCCCTACAATCCATCGCAGGGATGGTGAACGGGCTGAAAATATATCAACACAACACTATGATCACTTTCTTCCTATTCCACACAAGTATTGTTGATGTGGATTCATGGTCCACAGACATAATGTTGTCTCTGTTCGCATTAGGCTAGGATACAGACCTATCTGGCATGTATTTGAGGTGGGAGATGACCTGCATTTCTCTTCCTGCAAACTCTGTAACTGTCCCAACGCTAACACCCTTCAACATTACTACCTTGACTGTCCCACTGTCAAGGACCTCCTACCACAGGGAGTCACTAACCACTATACAGTATTACCCCGCCTAACGCGGTTTCACTTAACGCGTTTTATCATATACGCGGTGCCTCGCCAGAGCTGAACTTTCACTTAACACGGATTTTTTCCACATATACGCGGTGAGTGTCCGGCTTGAGACGCTATTTTCAGATTTACCCCACCCCCCACCCGCCACCCTGCCTGACTGCCTGTTTTAGCTCATAAAATTCATACAAATTACCCGGCCAGAATATAATTTACATTGCTGGAATTCTTATAATTTGGTGATCATTTTGAATATAAACATCATATATTTTGCATTAGACATACAAATTTTAGATAAAAATTTTTCTCTAGTAACTATGTTATCTTTTGTGCAAAATATATGACATTTATATTCAAAATATTCCTGGTCTTACAAGGAATCCAGCAATGTCAATTATATTATCCTAACTTTAGTTTGAGGTATTATTTATTACAAAAAAGTTAAGTATTCTGGTTTTCCCACACATCTCCTTGGGACGGTTGGTGGGGGGTGGGGGGGAGGGAGGGACCGACCGACCATCTGTTACCCTGTGAAGAATATTTTTTTTTTTTATTAACTGAAGATATTTGTTTTAGCTCATAAAATTCATACAAATTACCCGGCCAGAATATAATTTACATTGCTGGAATTCTTATAATTTGGTGATCATTTTGAATATAAACATCATATATTTTGCATTAGACATACAAATTTTAGATAAAAATTTTTCTCAGAGTAACTATGTTATCTTTTGTGTAAAATATATGACATTTATATTCAAAATATTCCTGGTCTTACAAGGAATCCAGCAATGTCAATTATATTATCCTAACTTTAATCTGAGGTATTATTTAATACAAAATGTTAAAATTTATTTTTTTCACCCCACATCTCTTGAAGGGACAATTGGTGGGGGTTGGGGGGAGGGTTGGTACTGACCGCGCAGTTGGAAGAGGGGGGGAGGCAAGGTGGGGTACTTTGATTGACAGATAGTGTCGTGAAGATTATTTTTTTTTTTATTAACTGAAGATATTTGTTTTAGCTCATAAAATTCATACAAATTACCCGGTCAGAATATAATTTACATTGCTGGAATTCTTATAATTTGGTGATCATTTTGAATATAAACATCATATATTTTGCATTAGACATACAAATTTTAGATAAAATTTTTTCTCTGGGTAACTATGTTATCTTTTGTGCAAAATATATGACATTTATATTCAAAATATTCCTGGTCTTACAAGGAATCCAGCAATGTCAATTGTATTATCCTAACTTTAGTTTGAGGTATTATTGATTAAAATTTAGTGGTTTTCCCCCAAAAATTTCTCAGAGAGGGAAGAGCCGGCAGTGTAGTGTGAGAGGGGGAGGGAGTTGAGTCCATTATTTGAATGGACATTAACTTGGCGACTGTATTTCTCTATTTCTCTTAAGTATTAATTGTGTGCATGTACCATCATAAAATTAAGATGTTATTTTTACTACAACATAGTTATGTGTCTTCAAAAAGTGGAGTTTGGGGGTCGGGCCGGTTTCTATTGGAATTAATCCCATATGTTCTGTTGTTCACTTAACGCGGATTTCACTTAACACGGGACCTTCTGGGTTCTATTGACCGCGTTAAGTGGGGTACAACTGTATATCACTGCCTACTTATTCGTAATAATTTTGATTTAATTTTTGTATGTTAGCCACACTTTGTTAAGTGCTAACTCCCAGTGTCCTTAAGCAAATCAATATGATCTCCATATCACAAGTCATAGCTTGTCCTATGAGACACAAGTGCCAATGGTCTTGTGCCTAGGCTTGTCGCCCCTGGGGTGTAATAAATTAATTAACCCCTATGCCCCGGTTGATGTTCCGGAATGTCCACCTAGGGCGCCCCAGTGGACATGCCAGAATGCACACATTCAAACAATGCCACGAAAATTTTCGTGGCATTGTTTGAATACCCAGCGCAGGTTATCAAGTTTCAGCATGACTATTTGCCTGTCATGCCACACGCTCGACCACAGGAAAGCTTCCTCAATATCAGTACAGGTCCACAATCCCTTATCCGCAAAGCTCTGGAAACCTAAAGTTATTTTGTGGAGCATCACTCATGTGCACGACATACCCAGAGTGACGCTGAATATGATCCGACTCGGCCGAACTGACCCACGCAGGTGTGAGGCGTCAGTTGTGTCTCAGCAGAATATAACTTGCAATGCTGGAATCCTTGCAAGACAGCGAATAATTTGAGTACAGTTGAACCTCGATTTACGCGGTTCTCATTTACGCGTTTGGTCATTTACGCAGTACTGTACCTTGCCAGAACCGAGATGCCCGATTTAAGAGGTGAATTTACTCACTTACGCGGGTGAAGTATAATTTGTTTATTTACTGAAGATATATAAGATTTTAGCTCATAAAATATATAATTTTCATTGCTGGAATCCTTACAAGATGGTGATCATTTTAAATATAAACATCGTAACATTTGCATTAGACATACAAATTTTAGATGTAATTTAAGGAGATCATGAAAATAAGCAAATATTCTAACTTTTGTGCAAAATATATGAAGTTTATATTCAAAATATTCCCTGACCTGCAAGGAATCCAGAAATGTCAATTACAGTATATTATCCTAACTTTAGTCGGAGGTATTATTTATTACTAAAAATGTAAATATACTGTTTTCTCCCAAACATTTCTCTAGTAGGGAGGGAAGGTGGGGGTGGGGGGTAGGAAGGGAGGGAGGGACCCAGCGAGCGTGGGAAGAGGGGGGAGCGGAGGCGGGGTATTTTGATTGACAGATAGTGTCTGGGTGAATAATAATTTGTTTATTTACTGAAGATATTTGTTTTAGCTCATAAAATTCACACAAATTACCTGGCCAGAATATAATTTACATTGCTGGAATTCTTATAAGATTTTGATTATTTTAAATATATACATCATGGAATTTGCATTAGACATTCAAATTTTAGATCTAATTTAAGAATTTTGATTACAAAGCCAAAATTTTATCGCTTGTGCAAAATATATGACGTTTATATTCAAAATATTCCTGGCCTTGCAAGGAATCCAGCAATGTCATTTATATTATCCTACCTTAAAATCTAGTGTTTTCACCCAAACATTTCTCAGAGAGGGAGGAGCCAGCGAGTGTGGGAAGGGGGGGGGGTTGAGTCCATTATTTGAATAGACATTAGCCTGGCGATTGTATTTCTCTTAAATTTTAATTGTGTGTGCATACCATCATAAAATTAAGATGTTATTTTTACTACGACGTAGGTATTATGTCGGTATTGTGTCGGAAAAAGTGGAGTTTGGGAGTCGGCCCAGTCTCTATTTCAATTAATCCCATATGTTCTGTTATTCCATTTACGCGTTTCTCGTTTTACGTGCTACTCCGCGGGTTCAATTGACCGCGTAAATCAGGGTATTACTGTATAGACATCATATATTTTGCACAAGAGATAAATAATTTATTACATTAGTGTAGTACATTTTAGTACAAGTGTTTCAACTGTATTTTTGGGTAGATATACAGTGGTCCCTCGGTTAACGAGCGCCTCGGTTAACAAGATTTCGGTTAACGAGTTACCTTCCATAAGACTCTTAACTTCGGTTAACGAGCAATCCCTCGATTAACGAGTTTCTTACGAGCCGACCTCAACATGTTTTCGCTTGCATTTGGCGGTCCACCAGCTGTAGTATTAGTCCGCCAATACAGTAATCGGTTCTAGGGCTTAAATTCCTTACCATTTTAGCAAATATCAAGAAGTTTATACTATTCAATAATTTTAAAAGTTTAATATTAAATTTTTTAGTCATTTTAACAATTATTGAACATAATTGAAGGTAATGAAACTAGTTTTATGCACGCCATCCAGCCTCTCAACACACCATACAGGCGTCAGTCTTGGTGTCTTTTCAGTGGAGGTATCATCTTGCTTGAGTCTCTTCAACTAAACGCTTTTTTCCTGTGTTTGCAAGCAAATTATTGGTCATTATGAAATTTATTTTACATATTGACAATATATAATGCAGTGCAGTGTTGATTTAAAGAAAATAATCTTGAATTACACCAAGAGAACTAAAATTTTATGGGTGAAATGGCACCATGGGGTGACTTCTCTTCCACCCCAATGCCTTCTTTCTCCCTTCTCCTCCAATTCTAATTCCCATCATCATCATCATCATCCAGGAGCCTTCTACATACACATCTCAAAGTAAGTGTACTTTTCTACCCCTTTTGTTGAATTTAGGCAATTTTCGGTAAGCTGGAACCAATTACCCAAAAACCCATTGAAACAATGGTTTCGGTT